TTCCGTCTGTTCTCGCTCGCTATTCGTCAGTCATGTCATCCACCGTTGGCACAGTCCATGACCCCTTCTCACAGCTGCACTCCCCACCGGTGCCTGACTGATATGACAGCAAAGTCATCGTTGTTTCTCCTCTATCGTTATATTCCACTTTTACGATTCCATGCATTCCTCTATCCTAACAAAGGCCTCGTGCTCTCCAAACCCCTTTTCTTGCTTTTAATAAACGTGCGCTTGATGTGGTGCTTAGCGATTCTGCTCGGCTTACACATATCCAGAAAGCTAGTCCAGTAGGGCTATCCAATCCTGCGTTCTACTCTCGACTGCTATACTATTTACAACCGATTAAGTGATAGCCTACTTTACGCTGGCATGCTTTATTTTTTCTACGTTATCAACTGAACCTTGCTACGGTCCACAGGCCACTTAAGAGGAATTCCAGACATATAATCGACAGCCTTTTGCGTATACCTTATCCATACAGTTTTTTCCTCAATCGCGGAAGTGGTACGGCGGTTCGACTGATGCTCTACGGCAAAAGCAGCTACTGTGGGTCATTATATAAAATCGCGGTTTTGCATGCATTCAACACAAAAATACTGCAAGCGTGAACAGGAAGTCAAGGTAAATGCAACCCTGATCTTGAAAGAAAACTTGATCACGAGGAAATAAACAACATAAAATCTCAATTATGAGGTACTACAGGAACCCGATGGTGAGGTTTCGGGTTGCGATGGGATGGGATGGAATGAGGTGGAGAGCGTACCATATAATAGGCCAGTTGGAAGGCCATCTGCAGAAACGAGTCCGGAGAGAGGCCAAATTTCTTAGGGATCCGCTTTCCAAAATCCTCGAAGCGCCTGACGACCAAATCCACGCTGTCGGCCAGCTCGCGAGCAATGGTGTAGGAGGACTCGATCGCACTGATACACTAAAAAGTTGAACCGATAAGGAAGGAGTATCAAAACCGATGGCAGACAGGGCTTAAAGATGACCTCGCGCGGGCCCTGGTCTACTTTAATCAGCATTCTTTGCTAACGGAATCCGTTAACTTAAAGAACGGAGTGAGAAGCTTAAACTGAGACCTTGCCACGGAAATTCAGTATATATAAGGGAGACAGGCGGAGCCTTTAGCAACCCTTTTTAGAGATAGATTCTGGCAAATCATGCATATATTTCAGAGCCATCTATACACATTATATCAATCGGTAGTGTCAAACATATATATGACCGTCAGGTAAAGTTTTATAAAGTCTTCTTTTAAATATGTAAACGCTTTCAGCGAGAACAACTGAAATAGGTAGCTTATTTCAGGCTTCAACCATTGTTTCACTGGACCCGCATAAATGCATCGTTAAGGGGCAACAAAATGCTGGCACGCTAGATTTGAGCGCAAATGGTGTTTTTATCGAGAGTTCAAGTTTGCAGGCCGGAGGCGGTCCTACTCAACTTTTAGCACACCATCTAGGTTAGGCATCTCACGCGTCCACAAGATTAGGGAATGTGCAGTGTTAAAAAGGCCAACGAGGGCGCCGAGGATTGACATCGATGTAAATTTAATATTCATTCTAATAGGCTCACCGGTCATCGGCACGGCTCATCTGAACCCTGCACAGGGGAAGTCGGTCGGAAACCCTTAACTGTGTGGTTTATCAGACAGCATAGCCACTGCAACCATTTATGTGCGTTTGTGGGCTTCGTTTAAATTCATGCCAGGTTGGATCCTGGATAAAAGGTTGCAGACATCGTAAGGATCACTTATGTGTGTCCCTAGCAGGGCGTAAGCCTAGGGAACAACCCCTGCATCCTTAGTGAGGCTGCTCACCCTCTCCACCCTGAGAACTAATGGTTGCGAAGTTTTCCCGTACAAGGCACCGAGGCTTCCATCATACGTCTTGCAGTACATCGGCATATCTGCACTTTGTACTCCCATTCC